CTCATATTGACCCTATGGGATAGGGTAAAAACACCCCTGTAACTCCTTACAGGAGTAGAAAGCCTTATCTTCCTCCCTCAGAGCAGCTGGTGGTTTTGAACTGATGACCTTGTGGTAGCAACTCAACACTAAAACAAAGCTACAATATTGAAAATAGTAAACCAGAGATATAATTTTGTAACAAAACAATTACAAATTAAAAATAATTACAAAGTAAAAACCACTACTTCTCTGTCAGTTTGTGGTACTGTGGTGGCTGGTGTATTAAAGACACATGGAAACAATTAAGCCAATGGACCAAACGAACACCAGTCTCAATGCTAAGACCAGAAGAACTAGATGGTGCCCAGCTACCTTTACCTACTAAAAGGGATCAAATAGAAGTTCCTGGATTAAATGGAAGAAAATCTTTAACAAAATTCAAAATCATGTTTTGAAACTGAGTTTGGTAGAGATTGTACAATACTGCTTGACATGATTGAACGATGGAATGGTATGGTATCTGGATTAGCTCCTAATAAAGTAGTTTGGGGGGGAAAATCAAAATCATAAAAAATACTAAACTTAATTATCAGATAGAGACTGGTGAAACCCACAAGACTAGGACCCTTAGTCGATCAATTTTCAGCCCAACAATAGACAGGTTTATAAAGGTAACATTAACACTAGAGAAGAATGCATCCCTTAGGCTATTCAACCCTTGTAGCCCAAAGGGGCAGCATTTACCCCAGGACAACGTCGGGGAAAGAAGGAGGAATGAAAACAGTTGGGGAGGAAGGGGAAGACGTGATGGTGCACTGAGGAGACTGCAATGGAGTTGAAAGGAAACGTGGACAAACTTGAATGTAAAGCAGATGGTCTGCTCCGTAAAGTTTCGTGTAATTCACAATAAAAATTTTTAAATTAAAAATGTGGGGGACATGAACAGGTACTTCACCAAAGAAGACACTCGGGAAGCCAATAAACACATGAAAAACTGTGAATGATCATTAGTCATTGAAGAGAAGTGCACATCAAAACAACAACGAGATCTCTCACTCCAGCAGTGCTTACAGCTTGTTTTTTTTAATGTAGGTGAGGGTAAGGAGAGCCTATAACCTTCTTACACTGTTAGTGGAACTATAAAATAGTGCAACCACTGTGGAAAATCCCTAAAACCTTGGAAATAGAAATGCTGTATAAACCAGCAATCCCACTAAGTATAAATCTTAGAGAAATAAGAACTATGGCCTGAATTGACCTATGCACACCCATGTTCACCTCTTCTGACATCCACTGTGATTTTTCCTTCCTTTCCTGACCCTTCGATGAGTGGGGTCCTTCATGTCTTCCCACGGCTCATGAGGTCTTCTGTCATTACTCTTCCATGCCTCACATCTCTTCTTGAGATGTTTTCCAAATTCAGGGGGGATATTTTGACTCTCATGGGCTTGTTTTAATTTTCTTCACCTTCAACCTGAACTTACATATGAGAAATTGATGGTCTGGTCCACAGACAGCCCCTGGCCTTGTTTTAGCTGCTGATGTTGAACTTCTCCATGATCTCTTCCCACATATTAGTCTATCTGATTTCTGTGTCTTCTATCTGGAGAAGTCCATGTGCACAGTCATTTTTATATTGTTAGAAAAAGGTATTTGCTGTAAGCCACTCATTGTGTTGCAAAATTCTTTTTTGTTTGAGATGAACTTGTTTGTTTATCTAAAGATTCCAAATCCATTTCAATCTTACCTTTCTTCTTCATTCTTATTTAAGCCATTCAAACCACTCTTTAGGTCTGAGGGATAAGAAATCTGGAGAGAATTTTTTATTAGGCGGTTTTTTAACAAGCATAATGTGTAGATGTGTGTATATAGATATGCGCGTGTGTTTGTATAGGTTGCAACACAGCCATCTCAATAAATGAAATCAACAAAATCCTGTTAAACATTGTGTTTTGTTTTGTTTTATTTTCCACCACCCCATCCCACCTCTCTCCCTATTCCCACTCCCTCCCCTAGCCTCCTTATAGTCATTAAAATCGTGTCTATTGGTGTATAAACCACATTTCTTCTTTGTTTTCCCTATAACAATAGTGACATTAAATATTTATCTTTGTAAAGTGGCTGAGTTTGCTAAGCACAATGTTCTCAAGTTCTGTGCATGTCTTGCAGTGCTTAAGAGAGTTGTCATTGATTTTTACTGTCTTGCAAAATTCTATCAAGTGATCTCCAGCTTCATTTCTATCCCCCAAAACATATTTTCCAACTATTGTTCCTTTCTCTTTTTTCCAACTTTTGCATTCCAATCATCAATAATTATCAATGCATCTTGATTACATGTTTGATCAATTTCAGACTGAAGAGGTTGGTAAAATTCTTCAATTTCTGCATCATTGGTTTTAGTGGTTGGGGCATAAAATAGAATAATAATTACATTGACTGGATTTCTTTGCATGCAGACAGCTATATCCTATCACGGGCAGCATTGTGCTTCCAGGTCTATCTTGATATGCTCGTTTTGACAATGAATGCCGTGCCATGCCTCTGTCATCTGTCGTTTCTGGCATAGTAAACCATATGGTTGTCTGATTCAAAATGGTCATACCAGTCCATGTCAGCTCACTAATGCCTAGGATTTGTATCTTTATACATTCCATTTCATGTTTGACAACTTACAATGTTCCCACATTCATACTTCATACATTCCAAGTTCCAATTATTAATTGATTTTTTTCAGCTCTTTGTTCTGATTATGAGTCATGCCCCATGAGCAAAGGAAGGTCTCAAAGGCTTTGCTCCATCCACATCATGATGGTCGACTACTTTGAGAAGGCAGCGCTTCCTCGATCATGCTTTGAGTGCCTTCAGACCTGAGGGGCCTGTGTCAGGCACTATCTCTGACCGTGATGTGCTTCTGTCCATTAATATTTCAGTAACTGCCAATGTCTTGACGCTATCCATACCAGTTGTCAGTGGCTAATTCCTCTTAAGTGGACAGCCTATTTCTTCTTTGTAGTCTGTTCCTAATCTGAAGCTCTGCACTTCACTTTGGTTGACCCTGCTGGTATTTGAAATATCAGTGATGTAGCTTCCAGCATCACAGCGCACACACACACACACACACACACACACACACACACACACTTACGAGCCCTGGTGGCATACTTACAACTTGGGCTGCTAGTTTCA